TAGGTTAAATCACTTTATTGGTCCTTTAAGTTTAATGTGATATGCGTCTTTAGTCATTTTTAGGGTTAATCATGCCTTAGGTCCCTTCAAGTTTAGCGTTTTTTGTGTTTTGGTCACCATTTTCTTTTACTTTACATGATTTGCGAATTGGCTACTTTGTTTTGTATTATTTTAATTTAGTCCACTATTGTATGTATTATTTGTGTTTGAAATGGGTTACTGATGTTTATGCTATTCTATTTTAGTCCTATATTTATTATTTTATTACGATTCTAGTGCTCATGTTATGTGATTTTCTTGTTTCATGCCATGATATTTATTTTTATTAATGTTTATAATTTTAAAATTATTTTTCACTCATTTTTGTCACTAAGATATTAATGAATATATATGTATATTGTTTATTTGTACCATTAAAGTATGTTTTATGTTTTAGGTATTTATTTTACTTATATTATTATATATTACTTTATTATATACATAATATTATAGGTAGAGCACGATAAATATTATATTTTATATTTTCATTATATTTTAGAATAAATATTATGTCATACGTTTAATATCATATTTAGAAAATATGTATATATTTATAAAGTAAAACAAAGTTAAAATTAACCTTAATGTGTGTATTTATTTTTTAAATATATCAATGTACCATATTTTATTCTGTTTGAAAATAACCTTAGACTTTTAAATCTTTTAGGTCCGTTATTTTAATTCTTTGACATGTTTATTCCCCAAACTATCTTTACACATTTAATATTGACATAATTAAATATGTTAAATAGAGCCTCCATTTTAGGTTAGATTTCAAACTAGTCTTTAATTTAGGGGATAATTCGAGTTGGCCCTCGCGTAAACGCTCGAGGGACCATCTCGGTTATTTGATTTAATATTTTTTTTAAAATCAAATAGGATTAATATTAGAACCTACATTTTTAGGTTTAAGCCCCTAGGTTCCTTAATTATCATAATTTGATACCTTAAGTTAGAAAAGGCCTTAATTTATCTTAGATTAATTATGATTGAATAAGATTTTGTCCGAGTGCATTTTATTTTAAACTTTAAGGCACTATTCACTTATTAAGGAGTTAATAGTATATCCTCCGCGATCGTGCTCAGGGGGTGACTACTGGTAATTCCCTGAATAAGTCAACATCCTTTTCAAAACTACATCATGTTTTCTAAAAATAAGGCAATATTCGGTTATTAGGCACAATAGCTGATCTCCCGCATTTACGCTCGGGGGAGAATGCTATCGGTCTCAATAAATGAATACCCTTTTCAAACTTTGCATCCTTAATGATTTTTAAATTAAATAAAGATCGAACTCAAAGTTTCCGATTTTAAATATAGGGTAATCAACTAGGTACCAATTTTTGGGAGCTTGTGGGGGTGCTAATCCTTCCCCACGCGTAACTGACTCTCGAACCTGATTTCTGGATTTTTGCAGACCCCAAAACTCGATATTTTATTAAAATAAAATATTTTATTAAAATCACCCAGTTTTTACGGTGTTCCAACCTCACCTTAAATGATTGGTGGCGACTCCTCACATTTTGAAACGATTTTCAAAAAGAAAACCCCGAGTCGGTATCGGTCTTTCCCCGCCTGGGCGAAAAATGGTGTCGACAGCTTGGCGACTCCGCTGGGGATTTTGTTTTTTAAAAAAGTTGAGAGTCGAGCCACGAGTTGGTTACCCTATATTTATGATTTTGGAAATTACTAGTTCGATCTTATTTAATTTATGGTTCATTATATTATTTCAAAAAGAAAAAACAGATTTCTCTCCGGTTAATGCTTACACTTCTATGAAATATTTAAGATTGTTGCATATCATAGCTCTAAACCCAAGCTCAAACCAAATTTACCTAAGTAGAGAGAAACGACACACCTCATGAGGAGCATTGGGCTTCCTTGTGTGGGTCTGACAAAGTATCTCTGGAAAGCACCCTAAGTTGCCTATCCGGATATCAGTTCCAAGGTACGCTTTTAGTGGTGTAATCCCCTGAGCTGAACCCGATTTACAAGTCCGTAATGGGCTAGAATCGGGGTCAACCTTAGTAGGTTGTAAAAATAGCTTGGGAACCTTCGCTAGAACCCAGCCTCATATAGAGAATTTAGTAAGTCTACCCCGCTAGAGCCATGTGGATAGCCTAGGAGAACTAGAACGCATGCGGTTAGGATTATTAATTTTCTTTGTATGCTTTATTTTATTCTCAACTTTAAGTCATATTTAATATTATTATTTTTTTACTAATCATTTCAACTAACTTGATTCTTGTTGTCTTGTTTCTACTAACATTGATTTTCTTTTGTATACTCTTATTGCATTTTTGCATGTATCATTATCATATCACATCATCTCATAAATGGTATTGATTCCCAGATCACCTAGTTATTATAAAAGAGCTTAAGGCAGCAATGTCTTCCGATGGGACTGAGAATGCAATCAGTGTTCAGACCTGGTCTGAGTATGGGCAATCACGGTTCGGGGATAGCCTTGTCATTACTGAAGAGTCAGTTTTGCCAGAGAAGGCAATTATCAGAGTCAGGCAAGAACATTGGGATGAATTATCAAGAATTTGGGCCACCTGGGATGATAATGAGAAGACAATGTTCAGGGAAATATACGGAGACATCGCAGAGCTGCTGAGAGTACCAATAGATTCAGTGTTGGTTCAGGCCCTGGTCGAATGTTGGAATCCAGCTTATAGGTGTTTCACTTTCGGTAAAGTGGACATGACCCCTACCTTGGAGGAATATACGGCTTTGCTGAACATCCCGAATATTAGAAAGTATTCTATTTACACCAAGACAATCCGACCTAAGGGGTTCATTACCAAGATGGTCACGCTGACGGGAAAGACCAAGGAATGGGTCGAATAGTACATTCGTGATGAAAGAATCTCCTGGGCTCAGCTGAAGAGTTTGATTTATGAGCAGACTCCATCAAAAAGAAGAAGAGATCACTTCGCGCTTGCAGTATATGGCCTGGTAATGTTCCCCAAGATTGAGGATCACTTCAACATTGCCTTAATCGATTTCGTCAAAGCTATTTCCAGAAAGAATCCCGCACCAGCCATCATTGCGGAAACATTCCTGTCACTGAATCAATATAGACGATTGGGAGGAGGTCAGTTCATTGGATGTACTTCACTATTACTAGTTTGGTGGTGGAGCCACTCCTGGATAGTTGAGAAGGGCTGGGCTCGGAGACATCAATCAAATTTTTCACCTCTGGTGGATTTCCTCGACAAATGTCAAATCCCGGAGCATCGCAAGAGAAAAGATTGGGTTGAAGCTCTCCGTAACGTGAAGGATACTGAGATTGTGTGGAAGGCTTACTGGTTACCCAAAGAGGATGTACTTTTCAGATGTGGTAACGATAGCTTTGTGATGCTGCACGGATTATGGGGAGCAATCGGGTATACTCCGCTGATTGTACTCAGACAGTTCAGTACCCGACAGTTCGTACCAGCTACCTACGGCTTGAAGGAGGCAGAATTTTCTTTCTCTACTCCAGGTTATCGAGAGCGGATTTCAAAAATCTATACAGCGTGGTAGAAACCCCACTACATGAACTTCAAAATGATAGAGCCTGGATTCACACCAGCCTATGAGGTTTGGAGGTCGCAGAGAATTAATAACAATACACCGAAGCCAAATTTAGAAGACGAGTTGACTATGGAGGAGCGATTGAGGAGGCTCCCGATAGAGGCTGAATTGTTAAAAGAGGATATGCGACTAATGAATCTGGAGAGAGAAAAAGAACAGAGAAACTTCTCAGATGAGAAACAATGTGGGAGCTCGAGCTGATTAAGAAGGATGGAGTGATAAAATAATTTGCAAAAGATAAAGAGAAGGTTCAGGAGAGTCTTGATGCACTAAATCAAGATTTTCGGGCCTTAGAGAAGAATATGAGAGCCCAGGGTCTACATCATACTATTAAGACCCTAAAAATAAAACTTGATAGGGTAGAAAGAAGCGCAAGAAGAGGTCAAGAAGAAAAGAAGCGAGCCCTGCAGTACGCTCAAAGACTAAGAGAGCAAAGAGATGAGGCTAACCAAGAATTGACATAGAGGCGGGCACAGATTGAACGGCTCGAAGCACAATTACTTAGTATGGATAAGACTTTTCAGAACCCATACAACAGCGATGTATTCCGTCTTCATAAAGAAAATGTGATGTTAAAGAAAAGGATGACAGAGATAGAAGAAGCAAGGTTGATCCACTCATCCGCACAGGATATAGCCAGACAGGAGAATGAGGCCTTAAAAGCTAAGATCGTTGAGCTAGAAGTTGCAGTACAAAAAGGCCATCAGCGAATCCAACAATTAGAAGAAAGCCGACCATTGACTAATTCAGAGCTTGGAATCGCGCTACGGCAGGCTCACAACACCATTCAGAATCAACATGAAGCAATGGGGAGAGCAGTGAATCAGGCCCACAGTGTTGCTCGTCAAGTCTACGAGATATCTGAAGAAGCGGCAGCCCTCAGAGTTTTTGTTATCCCAAATTCAGAGGAAGAGCGACGCATCCTGGGATTGATAATAGAGCTCGAGAGATTAGGCGATAGGGCAAGATTCTACGTTTAATTTCAATGAGGATGTATTCTCTTTGCCTAAAGTGCTTAGACTTTGTGTGTTGTTGAGTACTTTTTGTATGAACTAAGTTATTTCAGAATCAATATCGGGTTGCATTTGCATTTGCATTTTCTTACGTTTTTCTAAATGTTTGAAATCTTGATAATCGCATTATAACAATTCATTCATTAAATTCATCGAATAATAAAATATAATTTCCAATTATTTGTAGTTATCCTGGCATTCACCTCACACCCATACGGTACCCGTAAAACTAAGAAAATGGAGGCGAAATTAGCTCAAATTGAATAAGAACACAAACAAGCTCAAGCAGAGATGAGAGAAAGATTAAGCAAAATGGAAGCAGAGATGGAAAGTTCACAAGACGGTTTGCTACAAAAGATCGAATAAATGTTTAAGAAGCACGCTACAAGTGGAAAAGCTATTGTTGACCAACCAAAATCATCTGATCAGGATCTCTTGCATCCTCCAGGGTTTGAACCTATGGCATCGCATCCTGTCGGGTTTACATCTGGCCCCCAGCACCCACCAGGGTTTACACCCGACCCTTCGCATCCTCCCGGTTTCACCCCAGTGCACATTTCAGTTAGATCGCCAGCTGTGCAAGAGGCTCACCCAGGAGTCTATATAGAGAATCAACAAAATCATAATGAGCCCGCATTTCAAACCGATTACCCATCGGCTACTAAGGCAAGACCCATTGAATCAGGCGTAGAAGAGTTACCACCTGATTTTCAGGAAGTCTCGGAAAAAGGAAGGGTTAACAGTGATATAACCCAGCAGTTGAAAAGCCTGGAGGAAAGAATGAGATCAGTAGAAGTTGAGCCATTCTATGGAATGGTTGCTAGAGAGCTAAGTTTGGTGCCTGACCTGATTCTACCCCCGAAGTTCAAAGCACCAGACTTTGAAAAGTATGATGGAACTACTTGCCCATCAGCTCACCTCGTCATGTTCTGCAGAAGAATGGCAGGGTATACTGAAAATGAGAAACTAATGATACATTGTTTCTAGGACAGCCTAACAGGATCAGTAATTAAATGGTACAATCAATTGACTAGATCCCAGATCAAGTCATGGAGAGACTTGGCTCGAGCATTTTATGAACAGTATCGTCACGTCACCGAACTAGTACCTGACAGATGGACATTGCAGAACATGGAAAAGCGACATAATGAAACTTTCAGGCAGTACGCCCAAAGGTGGCGTGATGTTACCTCACAAGTACAGCCACCGTTGCTGGAAAAGGAGGCTACGGTTATCTTTGTACATACTCTGAAGGCTCCATATTTGGGGCATATGTTGGGAAATGCTACGAAGAATTTTGCTGACTTGGTTCTTTCTGGAGAATTAATCGAAAATGCCATTAAAAGTGGCAAGATTGAAGGAGGTGATGGGTCGAAGAAGCCCTATTTCAAGAAAAAAGACAATGAAGTGAGCCAGACGAGTACTTATAAAAAGAACTACGCATCCAGCGTCACGATTTCGCAGCCTAAGACGGAGAATACCAACACCCATGAAAATAGATGGCAGAGAAGGGAGAATACAAGACCGACTTTCTCACCAGTACCAGTACCATATTCAGAAATCTACGCCTTGCTCTTGAAGGCAGATTTAATACGCCCTTACAAATTGACTCCGATGCAGCCACCTTACCCTCACTGGTATAATGCCAATGCTCACTGTGAATACCACGCAGGGATTGCTGGGCATGATATCGAGAACTGCCCAATTTTTAAGAAGGTTGTACAAAACCTTATCAACGCTGGAGATTTGGAATTCAAAACACCAGCTGTAAATACTCACCCTATGCCCAATCATGGGGGGCAAGGAATCAACATGGTCGAAGAAGGAGAGATCAGGACGACCAAGAGAAAGGTGTCAGAAGTCAAATCTCCCCTCTGTTGGGTGTTCATGCAGCTGTGTACATCGAGAATGATTAAGGGAAGTCCCGAATCAAGGTCATTGGAACAAGAAACATACTGTGAACATCACCAAACTAAGGAGCATGATATCCAGAATTGTCCTGAATTTCGAGAATTGCTTCAGAAAATTATGGATAGTGGAGAAGTGGAATTTTTCAGTAAGGAAGAGAAACCACGAGAAATAGATATCTGTATGATGGATGGCTCGGGAAGAATGACGGGGACGAGAAAACCGATAGTCATCACAATTAATCCGGGACAAGAGAGATCATCGTCAACAACTCCAAGGGTGGTGATTACAACTCTGTCCCCCTTCCCATTCAAGGATACCCGACAGGTTCCTTGGAGTTATACAGCCAATGTATCAATACCAGAGGGGTCCAAGAAATCTGAAAGAACAAACGAGGAAAATAAATCAAGCTCAGAAGAAGTAGGTGAGGTGAGACATTTCACACGAAGCGGAAGATGCTACTCACCAGAAATGTCCCTCGAGATAGACAAAGGAAAAGCTAAAGCCAAAGCCGTCGTAATGCCAAAAATTTTCAAAGAAGAACCTCCACCGATCATTAACGAGCCTATGACTGAAGCTCAAGGTCATGAGTTTTTGAGGTTTCTTAAGCACAGTGAATACAATATAGTGGAACAGCTTCACAAACAGCAGGCAAAAATCTCAATCTTGGATCTTTTGATCAATTCCAAAGTACATCGGAACGCCTTGCTAAAAGTGCTCAACTAAACGTTTGTTCCTGAGGATATCTCGACGAATAAATTGGATCGAATTGTGGGTCACATAGCTGCTGACAACTATATTACTTTCACTGATGATGAGATCCCAGAAGAGGGATGGGATCCATTAAGGCTTTAAACATCACTGTGCACTGCCACAGTCATGTCCTGTCAGGGGTTCTTATAGATAATGGGTTGGCACTGAATGTAATGCCCTTAGCTACACTTCAAAGGATGCCCATTGATAGCTCACATATGAGAGCGTATCATAACATCGTCAGGGCATTCGATGGAACCCAGAAGGACGTGATGGGAAAGCTGGAAATACCCTTAATGATTGGGCCTGCTATTTACAATGTTGATTTTGTGATAATGGATATCCACCCGACATACAACTGTTTGTTAGAGAGACCTTGGATATATGCGGCAGGGGCAGTTCCTTCATCCCTGCATCAAAAGTTGAAGTTCGTAATTGATGGAAGATTGGTCAGCATTGGGGCTGAACAAGAAATCATAGCTTCTGTAACGTCTGAGACCCCGTATATCGACATAAATGAGGACGCATTGGAGTGCTCATTCAGGGCTTTGGAATTCATCAATGCAGCCTATGTGGCTGAAGGTAGTAGAATTCCACGACCCGCACTGTCGAATTGTACTAAGATGACAGTGAGACAAACCCTAGGAAGAGGAGCAAGGATCGGTAAAAGACTGGGAAAAGAGCTGCAGGGGCAGGTACGACCCATAACTGTTGAGTTGAAGAAGGACCGTTTCGGGCTCGAATTCGGGCTCGAATTTAAGCCCACCTTCCACCAGCGGGGTCAAGAAATAAAGAAAAAGAATGAGGCGAGAAAGGCCAGACTGAGAGGAGAGGATGTCTCGGGAGAATGCATGTCCTTTCCTCCCCTGAAGAGCTCTTTCAAATTTGGAGGAGTGTACAACGCAGAACAACAGCTGACTAGCGCCATCGAAACCGAGATGATGGGCGAAGCTCTGAAAGGACTGTCAATCAATATGATTTATAGGGGCAACCAACCCGAGAAGTTTCTAGCTGGAATCTGTCCGTGCTTACATGGTGAAAAGCTCGACAATTGGACAGCCGAGGACCTCCCCAAAGTTTTTAGGGTCAATCCAAAGTAATGCCCCAGAATAATTTGTATTAGCATCTAAAAAATATATGTTGGACTTTTTGTAAAACTTCACGCTTATCCCATCAATCAATAAAAGATATTTTCCTCAAATAACAATCATTTTCATTCTTCACATTATTTCATAATGTTCTTCATATCATATTATTTATTCTTCAAATCTCCAAATTCTTCATTTTTCATTACATTATATTCTTTATTTCTTTACTCTCCAATATATTCGAGTCAAATTTCATGCAGATGTCACAATAATACTAGCATAATTGTTCCTGAGGCCAGTTGCAAGACAAATTTCGAGCGACCACCATGTTTGGAAGAAGTCAATGAATGTGAAGATGAAGAAGACTGTGAAGTCCCTAGTGAGCTATTAAGATTGGTGGAAAGAGATGAGAAACAGATCCTACCCCACAAGGAAGAAGTAGAACTTGTAAACTTGGGGACCGTGGAGGTACAGAGAGAAATAAAGATTGGCGCTACTCTATCTGCAGAAATAAAGCTAGAGTTGATAAGTTTGCTCCAGGAGTACAAAGACGTCTTTGCTTGGTCATATCAAGATATGACAGGGCTAAGTACTGATATAGTAGTCCACACGTTGCCCATCAAGCCAGAATGTAAACCCGTCCAACAAAAACTCAGAAGGATGAAACCAGAGATGCTATTAAAGATTAAAGAAGAAGTATCAAAACAGATTGATACAGGTTTTCTTCAAGAGGCAAAATATCCTGAGTGGGTAGCCAATATAGTACCGGTACCTAAGAAGGATAGGAAGGTCCGCATGTGTATAGATTATCGAGACCTTAACAAGGCTAGCCCAAAGGACAATTTTCCCTTACCTCATATAGACACCCTGGTGGATAACACTGCGGGGTATTCATGGTTTTCCTTCATGGATGGCTTCTCAGGGTATAATCAGATTAAAATGAACCTTGAAGACATGGAGAAGACGACGTTTATAACCATGTGGGGAACTTTCTGCTATAAAGTAATGCCATTCGGGTTGAAGAATACTGGGGCAACCTATCAAAGAACCATGGTGGCTCTCTTCCACGACATGATGCACAAGGAGATAGAAGTATACGTGGATGACATGATTTCCAAGTCCATAACAGAAGAAGATCATGTACAAAATTTGAGAAATTTATTCCAACGATTAAGGAAGTACCAATTAAAGCTCAATCCAACAAAATGCACATTCGGAGTAAAATCTGGAAAATTATTGGGTTTTGTGGTAAGCTAGAAAGGAATCGAGATTGATCCGGATAAGGTTAAGGCAATTCATGACCTTCCCGCACCACGCACACAGAAAGAAGTTCGAGGGTTTCTAGGAAGGTTAAATTATATATCGCGATTCATTTCTCAGCTTACTGATAAATGAGATCCGGTATTTAAATTGCTCAAAAAGAATAATCCTGAGGTATGGAATGATGAATGGAAGGAGGCTTTGGAAGTCATCAAAAGGTACCTGTCCAATGCCCCCATATTGGTATCGCCAGTACCCGGCAGACCATTAATTCTCTACTTAGCAGTTTTCGAGAATTCAATGGGTTGTGTACTAGGGCAACATGATGAATCAGGAAGAAAAGAAAAAGCCATTTATTACTTGAGTAAGAAGTTTACTGATTGTGAGACTCGATACTCACCGATTCAAAAGTTGTGTGGTGCCTTAGTTTGGGCTACTCAAAGACTCAGACAGTACATGTTATACAATACTACATGGTTAATATCGAAAATGGATCCGTTGAAATTTTTGATGGAGTCCCCTGCTTTGACTGGCAGATTGGCTAGATAGCAGATATTGTTATCTGAGTTTGATATTGTCTATGTGAGTCAAAAGGCAATAAAAGGGAGCGTTATAGCCGACTTTCTTGCAAGTCGTGCCTCGGAGGATTATGAGTCTTTGAACTTCAATTTCCCAGATGAAGATTTAATGTGTGTTTATACCGAGAAGGAGAGCTCCGAATGCAACAAATCTTGGACTTTGTACTTTGATGGTGCTTCTAACGCTTTAGGAAATGGAATTAGGGCAATGTTGATTTCCCCAGAGGAGATTTATTATCCTCTCACAAGCAGATTAGATTTTGTTTGCACTAATAACATGGCTGAATACGAAGCTTGCGTTATGGGGTTAAAAACAGCCATTAAAAGAAAGATCAAAACACTCAAAGTATACGAAGATTCCTCGCTAGTGGTGTACCAACTAAGGGGAGAATGGGAGACGAAAGAATCAAAGCTAGTCGAATACAGAAATTTAATCCTCGAATTACTAAAAGAATTTGAGGATGTCACGTTCAGATATCTCCCCCGAGAGGATAATCAAATGGCAGATGCTTTAGCTACCTTAGCAGCAATGTTTAAAGCTAATAAAAGAACAGACATGATGCACATAACAATGCAAGTATACGAGACTCTAGCCTACTGCTATCACTTAGAAGAAGAAATAGATGGTCATCCATGGTACCACGATATCCTACAATATATGAGATACCAGACTTATCCCCCTGGTGCATCTGAAATTGACAAGAAAACCATCAGAAGAATGGCAACCAGGTACTTCCTTGATGGGGAAATCTTGTATAGAAGGGGCAGTGACCAAGTTTTACTGAGATGTGTAAATGCCAAAGAAGCAAAGAATGTGATGGAAGAAGTACATGGAGGAACGTGTGGAACGCATACGAATGGATTGTCCATGGCCAGAAAAATTATGAGATATGGATACTATTGGGCCGTAATGCATACGGATTGTGTCAATTACGTGAGAAGATGCCATAAATGCCAGATATATGCGGATAAAATCCAAGCACCGCCTTCACCTTTGCACGTTATGAGCTCACCCTGGCCGTTCTCTATGTGGGGTATGGACGTCATTGGGGCAATCACACCAAAAGCTTCAAATGGGCATCGATTCATTTTAGTAGCAATTGATTACTTCACAAAATGGGTTGAGGCTGCTTCCTATTCTAGTGTCACGAGATCTACAGTTTATAGATTCATAAAGAGGGAAATAATATGTCGATATGGATTGCCAGAAAGAATCATCACAGACAATGCTACTAATTTGAAAAACAAGATGATGGATGAACTTTGTTCGCAGTTCAAGATAAAGCATGCTAACTCTGTTACTTATCGGCCGAAAATGAATGGGGCGGTAGAGGCAGCAAACAAGAATATCAAAAGGATCATTACGAAGACTACAGAAACTTACAGAGATTGGAACGAAAAATTACCTTTTGCCCTTTATGGGTATAGAACGACCGTGCGAACATCTACAGGGGCAACGCCTTTCTCTTTGGTATATGGAACAAAGGCAGTCGTACCTATTGAGGTTGAAATTCCATCACTTCGAGTCTTGAAAGAAGTGGAGTTGGATGAAGCAGAATGGATCCAGTCTCGCCTTGATCAACTGAATCTTATTGAAGAGAAAAGGTTGAATTCTATATGTCATGGACAAATGTATCAAAAGAGGATGATGAGAGCCCACAACAAGAAGGTACGCCCAAGAGAGTTCAAAGAGGGAGATCTAGTATTGAAAAAGATTTTGCCTATCCAGAAGGATTTTCGCGGAAAATGGATGCCTAATTGGGAGGGGCCCTATGTTGTCAAAAGGGCCTTCTCTGGGGGAGCGATAATTTTGGCGGAGATGGATGGAAGGGTACTGAAAAACCCTATAAATTCAGACTCTGTCAAGAAATATTAAGCCTGAAAAGAAAAAGAAAAAAGAAAAGAAAAAAGAAAAGGGGAGGTTCGAGGTGAAAACCCGTAAAGGGCACTTTGAAACCAAAGGAGGATTTGAGTCGAAAACCCGAAAACGGAGGCTCAAATACATTTTGATATGAAGGCATCTGACAAGTAAACCCCTTGAGATAGT